TCATCGGTATGAATGGTGCTCTACGGGTTATAACATGGAAGCACCAAAAAGAAGAAGAAGAAAAATAACTTCAAACTATTTTGGGAAAAGAGAAATTAGATTTACTTGGTGAATATAAAGAACTTTTCAACATGCACATCTACAAATTTATTATCGGTGCCGACTTTAATGCGGATACCAACAAAATACGTGATGTAATACACTTCTTTACTCCTAGGACTATCCCAGGAATACCCAATATATTATATTTAACACCAAGTGAAACAGTCATTATAAAAGAACTAAATTTGAAACTATACAACAAAAATACGGACTGGACTTCGTTCAAATAAGTATTTCAGCCTACAATAAACTGTCCACAAATCACAAAATTTAAATAAATATATAAAAATTTACAGGTTTACAAAAGAAATTCAACAAGCTGTTTGGGATAATACTCCAGAGATAAAGCGAAAAATTATAGGTTCAAATTACTCTAAATAAATAAAACATTTCCTAACCAGAAAAAGAAAGTTACGACGGGAATGGCAACATGCACGCTCACCACTTGACAAAATAGAGCAACAGCTGAATTAAAATGTGAAATTACTCATATTTAGAATGATTCAATTCACAAATCCTTATCTCAACTACCGGCTGACAAAAAAGATTATTACTCGGTCTAGAAAAGTACAAATATGTTATCTTAAACGTCCAACATGCCACCTTGCACCATTAAATATTTACAAGTGCATCCGCAACACACCTAGCTAAAACTTTTCGTCCAAATGAGAGTAGTGAAAATACGTTCCTAAGTGTTGTTCAACCAGATCATGTAACAATCCCAGCAATCTCCATTTGTGAGCTCAAAAATTATATTAAAAGGCTTCAAGCTAAGAAAGCACCTGGATTCGATAAAAGTGATGTGATGAAGTATTAAAACAGTTATCACACAAAGTTTATTAAAGCTCATTTATCCATTCAATTCAAGAATACGTCTGACGTTCTTAAACCAGGAAAAGTTCCACACATAGTCTCGTCATATAGACCTATTTCACTACTTCCACATATTTTAAACCTTTTTGAAAAATTAATCCTCTAAAGATTAAAATCTATCATCGATAAAACTAGTTAATCCCATCGCATCAGTTCGGCTTCAGAAACAAGCATTCTACAATAGAAAAAATTCATAAAACAACATCTAAAATAGAAAAAATCCTGGAAGAGAGAAAAGTGTGCTCAGCGGTATTTCTTGACGTTGCACAGGAATTAGATGAGGTGTTGCACGAATTCCTTATTAATTAATCATCAAGGCGGTATGGTCATATGGTGCACAACTGTGGGGTTGCGCCAAAAAAGCATAAATATTACTCAACGTTTCCAAAAAATGGTGCTAAGGAGTATAGGTAAGGCCCCCTGGTACATCAGAAATGCTGATATTCATCGCGATCTAAATGTAAATACAGTCACCGAAGAAGTAATATTTTAGGCAGAGGCCCACCACAAAGACTTAATAAATATGAGACTGAGGAAGCGAGAAATCTTCTCTTAGACAGATGTCTCTCTAGTGACTTATGTCGAAAAAAACCACATAATTTAGCTGGTAGTTAGAATATCAAGAAATTCAAGGAATTACGAATTTCTTTGTTATCTTTCTAAGCTATTAAAATAAAACTGTTCATTAGTTTATAAAACTAGTACAATAGTACAAGTACTACATAGTACAATAGTTT